ATTTTAAGCTAGTTATATGTGGCAAGCCTTTTTTCAGCAGGACATTCAATAAAAGTGAATGTATGGAAGATCGTATAGAGCGGTTTTCAACTGAGTGTCGAGATTAATCAGGCAATTACTGGGGGTTTGGTTTTGGTTTTGCTACGGTTTGAGATTGGATGAGCAGTCTAATTGGTAAGTAATTGGTTTAGTTTTGGTTTTACGACACTCAATTGAAATCGCTCTATTTGAACTACAGAAAAATATATGAAGCCATGATTGATCATCGCAGTCATATACATAGCTTGATCAGCTGTAAAATTAGAGCCTAAAGAGAAATAATTCAGGCTTGAACGGGAATCGAACCCATGACCTCTGCGATACCGGTGCAGTTCTCAACCAACTGAGTTTCCAATCCTACTTGTAGCTGGTCACCTTGTGAGTTCGTAATATACCCGTGATAGCGAAGAAACAAGGGAATATATGAAAGATCATATATTTGAACTGCAGAGAAAGATATGAAGACATGATTGATCATCACAGCTATATACACAGCTTGAGCAGTCGTGACACAGTTGTTATGTTCACAGCTGCTCAAACTTTGTATATAAATGCGGTTGTCAATCACGTCTTCATAAGACACAATGTTGAAGACCCGAATTATTAACGTTTTTACTGTTACCAATGAAAGGGATTGAACTTTACCCGCATAATCATCTTCTGCTAAAACAGCCCTTGACCTTATTTTGGTTGTAGAGACACGACGAAAAGAAGGATTGCTAAAGAAAACTGTTGATAGTGAAGCTGTGATGTCATTTAATTAAAAGTGCTCAAACTCTTAGAAATAAGCACATTAGGTAATTAAAAATTATACGTGAGAGAGCATTTTCTTCATTTTTCAAGGTAACCGGAAGTAAATGTCGAAGAGATATACTCGATACGGTAACAGAGGTCTTGCTAGAATATTTCGAGAAGCTAGATCTTCTCGGGATCTTCCCCAAAACTGTGAACCGTTAGTCTTACACTTAGTTCAATGGTAAATTGCCGTGTCAAGTGAAAGATAATATGATAGGCAATACAAGTATCATATCTAGAAATAGTAATACCCGTAAGATATCTTTCTAACTCGAGTGGACTAAATCTCCACTGTTTGATTTTCTTGTACTACAGCCCCTCAGTTAAATGGTTGGAGCATTACTGCTGAGAGCATTACCTCAACAACAATATCAGTAGGGTGGTCCAGCGTGACACATGCCATATCGGTTCAGGATTTGTTTGTTTTCGTGGCTGTTTGTACTGCTACTGGAATAAATGACAGATCGCGTCTAGCTACAGCTATTGTGTCCTCTTCAAATGTACTGGTGGGAACGCTTAAGCCTTATACAGAGTATCAGGTTCAAGTCGTGGCCTTGGTCAAAGGGCAGACCAATCGTAGAATTGCAATGAGAAGCAGCAGTGTTGTTCTGCTTCGAACAAAGGAAGATGGTGAGTTTTTCACTTACAGTTTAAGAACTAACAACAGCTAAGGCTGAGGCAATATAAGTACGTGCGGCTTCAAAAAGTATGGTTCTTGAGCGGTTTTGGTCCAAAAAAGGGTATGTTTTTCATCTGGATTGGCATTGCGGGTGGGCTCCTGGCAATGCATTGGGTATTTTGTCTATAAGGAACTATTTCTTTTTTCTGCATCAACATCGGCAGATTTGTAGCCCTTTTCAAATGTTTACTCAAATGGAAGCCATTTCTTGATAGTTGCGGTTATGTATAAGGACCTTTTGTTAATTTTAGAGGTCTAAAATAGGGTATCGATTTTTCGCTCAGGCATGAAAAAGAGTATGGACAATCATAGATTTTGGTCTGAAATAGGTTACTAGTTTCAAGGTTCGAGCCACCCATCCTCACCAAAAACTTTGGGGAGTACCCCCTGGGACGCAAACAAACATTGCAGTAATCTAGTGTTAAACACACTATATGCAAAGATAAAAAAAAGCTGAATTTATTTCTTTTCACAGTATCTTGATATATGTATAATTACGAAATGTACTTAAGTATGTGTTCGCGAAGCAAAACTATATTTATCTTTTGCTTTTAGACCAATGATCGATACCTACTCTTTTATCCATCTACAGTTCCTTCAAAACCTCCTGATAATATAAATGCTTACAGCACTAGTTCTACTAGTATTGTTATTACATGGTCTCCCATAAGTGAAAACGACGCAATGGGA